TTTTTTTTTTTTACATTTAATCGTGAACCACCCTAAGGTACATCTTCATTATATCTAAGAAATAGAGATGGAACATCAAAGTACAACCAACAACAATAGCTAGGAGAAGACCAGGGGTTACTAGAGGAAGTAAACGTTTACTTGCAGGTACAATTAAGATACAAGATATAAATATAACAATAACAGTTTTAACAATAGCATATTTTACTTTAGGTAAACCAGCAGCAACTGATTGTAACCGTCCCAAAAAGAAGCCCAGAAATTTAATTCATAACATTAGAAATTGTGCGACTAATGCAAAATCACATTAATTAAAGTATATTATATATAAATGTTTTTATAATGATATTTAAATATAATATGATTAAAAGATTTATAATATACAGTATGTTAAATAATTTCTATTCTAATTTTCCTATTATATTATTTTAAAAGTAATCAAAGGATATATAATATATATATAATGTTAAATAAAAAAAAATAATTTGATATTATATTTTTAAGCAACAGAAAATATGGAGATTGAAATAAAATACAATCTCAATTTTTAAGAAGAACATAATTGTTTATCCATATTAGATGATATAATTATAATGACAGCAACTATTAATAATATTATATACTATAATAGTAGTAGTTACATGATCAAAATAAATATAATAAACAATATGTGAAATAAAAAAAATGTCAGTTATTACTACTATACTCTATCAGTCTATCATTAAAAAAAAAAAAAAAACCACTCGACTATCAGATAAGTAGTTTCAGAGAAGACGTGCGACAAAGATTTCTGTTTTCACATTTATATACATGTACAATATATAGATTTATGTTCTCAAATTCAATTTAATTAAGAAGTCACATAATTTGTATATATGGTACTTACCGAATGGCTTCTGTCATTGTCATTCATTTGAAAGCAACAGAGGTTTAAGACAAACTTTTGAAGAATATATGAATGATGGAATGACAATTTATTTTTGCCATATGAAATAAATAAATTTTTGCTTTCAAACAACTAAGGGATTCTGCTGTATTAATGCTATGATTGTGTTCATTCCAAATTGTAATAACACAGAGCAATTTAAACTGTAAATTATGCAATAATTAAAAATTTTCACAAAAGTTCAAGAATAAAAGAATATTGGACAAGTCATAATCATTTACAGAAAATTGAACTTAAAACAGATAACATAACTTAGAAAACATTTTCTTTCTAATCATATTAGAAGGTTTGTGTGAAATAATTTAATTGACTAAAATGTTCTATTAATTTCTAACTAACTCTATTTGTTATTATGTTAATAAGTACAAGAAATAATTATTTTTTATAATAATATTAAACTATAATTAATTATATTTGAGTTTTCTTTTGAGTTGGGTATCATATTTCATTTTTATATTACCTATTCTAGCGCTAAATATGTCAGACCAATGAGAAGGCTGTACGGGGCCTATGGGTTTTATTTGATGTGCGGAATGTTAATATGCCGACCGGTCGTCACCAGTCGTCTCTACAATTCGTGTGCATGCGATAAGCATCACGCTAAGAATCGCGTCCGCCGTTGTTATCGGGATTCGGTTATCGTACTTGAAATTAATATCGTTCGCTCGTGTGATAGCATCGTTGTTGATTGTGGTAAATTATCAACAATAACAAAAACACGATGTAAAAACACGAGTATTTCGAAAACTATTTTTCAAATGACCATCGCAGAATTAAAATCGGAGTGCGAGTTACGTGATATTTCTAGTGCGGGTACAAAGAATGATTTAACTCGGTCCATTAAGGGCAAACGAAAATCATGTGCTCCGCGGTGTCTTCGGCAAAACTACAGTAACAGCATGAAGCGTCCGGGGACCTATTCATGCAGTTCAAGTATTGACGAAAACAGCCGTTCTCCGTCAAAGCTTGCGTCATGTGGTAGGTCAGTGGGAAGACAGGCCTCCGCATCCACCTATACACGCTAGGTAGTAGGGTGTGCGTCCATCTGCTGTTTTTCAACCCGTCCCATCTTGCTTGCCATGCTCCAACGGTAATGCTCCTTTCCTGAAGTTTGATCATCGCCACGCTATCCTCGCGACCTTGCTCGTCGATCCGGTCAGCAACTCTCTTCCGTTCCAGCGCCTTTAAGTCGGCCGGTATGATGGACGCCAAGAATAAGGCACCGTCAGTTGATACGGTCCAGTAGGCTCGAATAATCCTAAGTGCCACCTGTATTTGTGCTCGGCACATTGACTCCCGATTCCTTGCCGTTCGGGTAGCCACCTCTGCCCACGATGCAGAAGCGTACAGCAACTTACTGCTCACTACCGTTCCCAGCAATTTCCTTTTGGACGCCGACGGACCCCCGATGTTCGGCATGAGGCAACCTATGGCGAACGCGGACTGGCTAGCCCTGGCTGAGGCGCCTGTCACGTGCGCAATATATTTTATTATATTGAATAATATTTAATATAAAAAAAAATCTTAAAAATACATAAACACATTTATTTTTTACAAACATTTTTTTAAAAAATGGTTAAATTTCAAGCCATGCATTTTCACACTTATTTTAAATCCCTCGGCTATTGCGTCCGCTTCTATACTAGTAGCTCCTTTTGCCCAGTTCATAAAACAAACATGTTCTAAAGCGGTTTCATTATTTATTTTAGCTCGTTCGCAAATAACGCAGTATCTAAATCTGATACCAATAAATAATATTTTTTTAGAACATTATCCAATAATTGTCGCCTGTAGGTATTACATTTATAATGAGTATAATATGATACAATATAGTAATATACATTTATGTATTAATTAAAGTTAAATTTTACCACTCCTGACAAAGCAAATAAAATAAAACCGCCTAAGTCTGGGACTTTTAATGCGGTGAGAACTGCAATACCTTCACCGAACACCGACATAAATTTATTCAAGTCCGACAAACTATCCACGGACGATATAGGTACTTGCAACAATTTGTCGACGAACGATCCCGCGACTAAGCGAGGCTTATCGTAACGCGATACTAACGCGGACCAGGCTACGGCGAATGTGGCCCCCGAAATCAGTATGCCACGGATAACGTCAGCAGCTCTTCCGTGAACACAGCTGCGCAAATGATAAAACCACTCGATATCGGGTATGTCAGGAAATTGAGATACGACCGCAAGAAACTGATCACGGAATGCAGGCCACTTATGAATATCACCATCGAATTGCGGTAACGGAATTTCAGGTAATCTGCGGAAAACGCGGGTTTGTGCCGCGTGAAGGTCATTTGTGGCGATGGGTTCCGGCGGCGTAGCAGGTTGAACATGATATTTTGAAACAATCGACTTAATAAAATAGACCCAATTGTTCACGTCGACGATAAGGTCCGTCGTATACTCGTGCAACATGTCGAGAGCACAATAAGCGTCGAACACAGCATTGTCCTCAATCTCGAACCCAGTCAACAGACTATCCAACCTGGGGGAAGCCGCGAGCAGCTGCGGCACCATAGTCATATCATCACTAGCCAATCGAGCCGTTTCGTGGATAGCCTTAATACGAGCGACGTACGATTCTCGTTTGGCCAACGCCCTGTCCTTCGCGCGCTTATCACGCAAGTTAAAGGTGCGCGCGCGTAACCCACGGGTCGAACAATAAATTTAGCAGCACTCAACTACAATAACTAACGGGGGCAATGGTCCTACCCAAGCTATCACGAACCCAATCCAAACGTGAACATCACAATTAAATAATATAATAACCACGCTCTGCTACCAAATGTTTGGGAAGCCGGCTATTTACTAGCATTTGGCCGAGCAACCACTTTAAATGATGTGATGTTCACAATTTGAATTGGATAGGTGACCGAATATAAATATATACAACACGTTTTCAATACCTAATAATAATATATATATTTTATACACGAATAGTGTGCATACGTCGGACGGTGAAGACGTCTCTTCCCGAGCGCGACTCGTAACAATAATAATAATAACAAGAATAATAATAATTAACTTGAATAATGTCACATTACCGGACGGCACATACGTCGCGGCGGGGCAGGGTATCGGTTACGACGGAGACTGTTATCAACTGCGGCTGTGGCAAGGTCGATGACACACACGTGAACGGGGAGTGGCGGCAGTGATGATAACAAAAACGACGTTACGCAATGTTTCGAACTAATATTATCGGCTAATAACAATAGCAATAATACGCGAACAGAATAAAAACAATATCATGCAACGAGTGCAACGGAATACAACAATGACCGTTGTGTGGACTTAGATGCAGTTCTATCATAAATAATACACGACCCGACGTGACCAACGCACGGTCCATTCACAAGGAAGGTACGGCAACGACGGACCAACGCACGGTCCACACACCAGAAAGGTACGGCAACGACGGACCAACGCAAAAGTCGCCGGTGGTGACTTGGCCGGAACCGGCATCCACGGACCGCGCGATGCGCTTTCTCGCGGACCGGTTGTCAATGTCGCAATTAAAAACAACGGCGGAAAATTTCGAACAATTATTTTAAAATAGATTTTTCAATTATTATATATGTTTAGTATTACATAGTATTGTCAATAATCTAAAAATATTATGCGTTTCCACATAAAGGTCCCCACACACTGCGGCGGTGGCGGTGGTGATATTAAAATGGCAGACCTGAACACATTGGGGCGGTGTCGGTAGCGATTTTTATCTTGTATAAACATAATCTATTTAAATATTACATACAATAATTGTATAGTTAATTAATTAATTCCTATGCAGTTGCGTAACCAGAACTTTTAATGCCCGTGGCAAAATAATCCAATCGGGCCCTTAGTTTTATAAATTTGGAAGAACAAGATATGAGGAATATCCTTCAAAAACTAACCACCTATACAATTCTACCCTTTAAGGCTACAAACAATAAAAAACATGTTTAGTGTAATATTATTTTTATAGTAAAATTTTACTAAACATTTTTTGGTTTAAAAAATATATACAAAGCAATACAAAATTTAAATATTCAAAATTTCTTGCTTTTGCTTCGGCAAACATATCGATTAAATCTTCAAAGTCAACTTCTCGGGCTGTTTCTTATTCGATTGAAATTAATGCCAGGCCACTTAAACGATCTTGTATCATTTTACTCTTTAAATATCTTTTAATAATTTTTAGTTTCCAAAATGACCGTTCGGCGCTTGCACATGTAACAGGAATTGTCAAAAATAATAAAATAGTAGTACATACTTCTAGGAAACTGGCTGTTAAAGAATGATTTTTCACCATTAAAAGTTGAGCAAGATCTCTAGTTGAATTAAGTTGATTTATTTGATTTTTAAGAGTTGATCTTACAGCTAAAATTTCACTTATAAATGTTTTTGATATGCCTTTATCATATTTGTTTACCAACTTTGTAGCTTCATTTAAAAGCTCTAAAGCTGTTGCTGATGTGAGAAAAGATGGTTGTAAACATGTGAAATTTAGCATTAATTCATGAAAACTTGAAAAACGTTTACTTATTTGATTTATTAATATATCCAACGTTCTATTAAAAATAGTTACTCGAAATAAGCTTTCTGGACAAGTTAAACGCATATCAGTACATAGTTCATCGAAATATCTTTTTACTACTTTACGACGTTTGTTTTGAAACTCTGTAGAGATAGACCAACTTTTAGCAACTATACTTGCTTCTTCCAAGAGATCATTAAAATTACATCTATATTCTTTTAATTGTTCATAACAGTTTTTTAATAAATTAGATGCATTATCTAAATCAAATGACTTTGACTGGGGAATTTAGAAGTTAGGTTTATAATTTGTAAAATTTTACATTGAAAAACTAAAGTGCAAATAAAATTATGATTTTCAATTTGTTTTTTAATCCTATCTGCTTAATTTCGCTCATCTAACTTAGAGTTGCAAAGTATAACTTTTGTTAAAGCTTTTTGAATTTCAACAAATCTAATTTTAAGCGAAAAAACTGATTCATAACGACCAGCCCAAACGACACGTCATTGACTAATAACAAAATAAAATATAAATTAAAAGAACATCAAGTAACAACGACTAAACGATGGTCACTTTTTCCTAGAATAGTTCTAATCTGATCTAGTATCTAAATATAAATGTTACGTTCGGTTTCAAAGACAAGCGATTGCGATACGCTTCATTGTTATTTCCATTTTACAAATAACAATATCATTAAATGTATAATAATATTAATATCGACAATGTCGACGGACTGGTAAATAAAATAATTTATAAACATAATCATGATCAGTTATTAAATTTATTTTATTTTACAAAAATATACATATATTTTTAAACAGAATCGTATTTATAAATTTCACTATTATGATGATTTGTTTTTGAATGTACTATTTTTTTCTTGAAGGGCCCTCTAGAGTCGTGGGCCCGTGGCCCATTGCCCGTCATGCCATCCTATCGTTACGCCACTGTTCCTATGTCATTGATAAATTGACGATTTATCTATATAGTACGTTAGTAGGTACTATATTAAGTACTTCTACTATTTTACATATCATATTCATTATATATATATATATATATATATATATATATATATATATATATATAATATTGTATTGATTATTTTTATATGAATTATTTTTAATTAAGTTAAATAGTATATTAAACTATAACTTGAATAGTTTCTAAGAAATAATCCAAGTCTAGACTAATATACAAGCCCGGCTTATGTGTTTAAACAAACATAGGCGAAATTTAGTTTTTGCCGCCCCTTACGTGTAAATATTTTATCAAATATTTTTTTTTTATACATAAAAATTGTCCAGGAAAAATGCCGCTTTAGGCGTGGGTCTATGTCGTCTACCCCTTGAGCCAGGCCTGCTAATATACACCATATATATTAAATAGTATAGATACTTTTAGCGTATATTTGATAAGTCAATTGAAAATACCGCTGAACAGTGACGGTAAAATCGAGCATGCTGCGGTTTTTATAAATATCGCAGCGGCGATATTTTACCGCGGCTGAATTACCGCCAGCATGTGCAGACTCCCATTACAATACGTGTGTACAAATTTAACGCAACCGCCATCGCGTCAGTGTGTGGGGACCTTAAAAGTAGATACAGTCATATTCTACAAGTTTCTAAAATTTAATAATATTATTTGGGTATTTATAAATCGTTTGCCTAAATGACTGCGATAATTAATAACCGGTTTCGACAATCGGTGGTGCGGTAATGTGCGCGGTGTAGGGAGTGTGTAACGTACATGTCCCCAACCCCACCCATTTAATGTTTCGCACTTTTTT